TAATTTTTTTAAAAGGTTACATTAGTTAGAGAAATAATTGTGGTAGTTATGTCTGTTTGGAAAATTAAAATACTTACGTACATACTGTATTAAAAACTAATTATTCCAATAACATGAGACAATAATACTAGCTCTATTTTATGTAAATGTCAACATGGCCAAATTTTCGAACCAAAAGAAAACTTGTGCAACTTTAAACCAGAAATATCGTTATAATTATAAATATCTTATTTGATAACAGTTTATGTTGACTATTGTAACTATGCTGGTAAGCAGAACAGCTTATTACATTGTTTGAAAAGATGGTAACATTCTAACAATACATTTTTCTGTTTCTGAAAAATCTGATTTGATGGAATGTTGTTATTTGGAAAACACTCCTCATTCTAGAACCAGGGGATTACAGGAATATATGACATCGAATAGTCACTGCCGACACAAAAATGTTCAAGGCGCCATTAATTGTATTGATTTCAATACGCTCGCTATACTCACTCACAATCATTTTCGTACAATTATTTTTGTTTGGCAAGCTTTGTCCTTTGAAGAGGTTTATTATACAGTAAAGGTTTTTTTTAAATTTTGGGAATGGCAATTCATAAGCAGTGGTTTACATTACTTGGAGGGAAGTAAAAATTGTGCTCAGTTTAATGAGGCCTGGTTGCATGTCTCAGTTTTTTATTTCAATTGACGATTTGGGGGAATAATGGTGTTTTGAATCGTTCTTTGAGATATCTGGATTTAATAAGTGGGTATGAAGCATTGCGACCTAGACTGAACATTCAGGAGCTTGGACGAGAGCGAAGGTTTTGAAAAAAATAGTTATACGTAAAATGTGTTTGCCTTAATGAACGTCCACTTCATTCGCTGTAAATGTGGATGACTAGAATTAAAAATTGACGAATTCAAAGTTCTTCTTAAAATATTATTTTGAATGGCCGATAATTCTCGGAGATTGCTGCAGGCACATTTCTCAATTGAACATTTGTTTTTCACTCATATTCATAAATATTGTTTTAAAAGGTTTTACAAAGAAAAATCACTATACATGATCACCAGAGAGGGCATTTGCTGCCCCAAGAAGTTTTTTTTTTCGAAAAAAGACGCTTACCATTACACTGAGTAGCACTAAACGATTCAATACTTAAACCTCCGAGTAGAGTTCTTATCCGATTGTCTGGTTATATTACTGACATTTAGAGTCTGTTCTGTCAATTTCAGACTGATATTTGTTTGATATTAAATGGTCAGTTATAATAATAATAATAATAATAATAATAATAATAATAATAATAATAATAATAATAATAGTAATGAAAAATCTGATTTGAGGAAATTATATTATTTGCTTGAACGCTCATTTGAGAACTAGTATATAACTTGAATATGTGATATCGAAGAGTCAGTGCCGACTTAAAAATGTTCAACATGTCATTAATTTTATTGATTTCAATATGCACAATATTCTCTCTCCTAATTATTAAAACAAATTATTCTAGTTTGACAGGCTTTGTCCTTGGGGGAAATTAATTATACAGTACACAGTTATTTAAATTTTGGGCATGACCAGTTATCAGTAGTGTTTTATATCACTCAAAAGTAAGTAAAAAATGGGCTCAGTTTAATGAAGCCGGGATGGATAATTCATTTTTTATTTCAATTGACGATTTTGGGGAATAATGGTGGTTCGAGATATACGGATTTATTTTGTGAGAATGCAGCATTGCGACATAGGCTAAATATGTAGTTCGAGGGAGTCCGAATGTTTTGAAAAATCATAGATATTCGTAATATATTTTTGCCTTATGAAGGTCCAAAAATTCTATGGAAGTCTGGAGCATAGGAATTAATATCATCCTGATGAAAAGATGTCATACTTACATTGAAATCTTACTTCCATTGGATAAACAGACCTGGAGTAAGATCTTTGACTCTACTGGAGGGAAAAAAGAAATGAAAATAATAATAATGATGATGATCATGGTAATATTGTTAAGACATACTATATATTAAAAGTCCATACAGTAATGAAAAAAAATATTAGCCAACCTGATAAAAGCTTGAAACAAGGAAACCGAAACAACGAAATTACTTTCGAAATTTGGCAATGGAATGACCGTCATCTCTAAATTCCCGCTATAACCGCAACTTTACTTCAGAGAATGTGACCGCGAAGTAATGTTTCTGTGGTACGGTGGCTTTGCTACCGGCCCTCTAAAGCACTATAAATGCCCAGCAAATGAACTAATGGTCACGTTGTACCAAAAACAGTCAACATGCTGAAACTCATCCGCCTCTTGTGCTTGTTGGCAGTCGCCTTTGGTGAGTACAAGTTACCCGTGGCGCTCAAGCTCAGAATGAACTAGTGGTGGTACAGAATGGCACAGACCTTCTCGTACTATTTAAAAAAAATTGTTTTGTGTGGCTCGCTTTTCGGACTTGCCACATACTCATGCCGGCTGCTACGTACCGCTACCCAGGATGAATTAAAAAAAAGTTTTTGGTTTCCTAATAATAGAAACGAAATATTCCAATAAGGATATTATAGATGAATAAAACCTCGTCTAATATCGAAATTTTCGTTGAAAACTTTAGATATATTTTTAAGAAAACGCGTCACTGTAAATGCTAACTTTGAAACTCTGCTACACAAGAATACTTTGCGTTTTCGAAAAATTGGACGTCATTGGAAGCACTTCTACTCACAAATGCAATAATGTAAACAAATGGCTGAGAATGTGAAAATTAACGGCGTGAGAAATATTTCATAAATATTGCAATCATTTTTTTTTAATTTTCGAAAAAACAGAGAGTTTGACGAAAATGGGAGTAGCAATACATTTTTACTATTCATTATTAAATACGACGAAAACATTTTAAAAATATATTTGGAACGGATTTTAAATTTGTTTTTTCAATCGAGTATATTTCGCGAAAATTCCACGATATCATGTTTTCGAAAATAGAGTCTGTACTTATTTAAATATCTGTTATTACGGAATAGATTTTTTAAAGCAACAATGTCTATCTTCATAATTGTAGCTGTAGATAAATGCGCACAAAAAATTGCAATTTTGTAATTTACGAAAGATTTGGGATTTCAACGAACGATGAATGTGAACTTGTCTCTTGAGCGACCACTACGCTATCCAAGAGCTGTTTAATTAAAAAAATTGTGCAAGATTTAACAAAATTTTGAAAATTTGGTGTTATGTAAAAAACCCTCAAAAATAAAAATTCTTACTAAAACTCATTAAGTCTTGAATTTATTCAAATTCAGCGTGAAATATGGGTTTTGAAGAAAATTGATGAACAGTTTATGTCGTCATGTTTGACCACACACGGACGGGTAGACAGAGCGACAGGTATTTTGACGTCAATCGATATTTCGGAATCGAGAACACACATACCATAGATTCTGACTATCCCCCATGTTAGAGAAAGTAATTTACTACGCATAGCAACAAAATATATCAATTTTTCATTACCGGGACCAGATAATAAGAGCTTTCTTATGGCAAAATTACGCCGTTTTCAAGCTCTAAGTTACGCTTTGCTTGACACCATATGCATCAGTACATTGAAAATACAAGTTCATTCCTCCCGTCACAGACAAAAATACGTATTGCGAATTTTTTTAACTAATTTCTAAAATATATATTTTGTAAACGTTTAACGGAAGCTCGAATGGAACAAACGAGCAAAGAAATACGCAAAAGTATACGAATTCCGAATCACGTAGAATCCAGCGGCCTTCAAGCACTTATCAAATTACTTTCAGGAAGCCCGGAAAATACGAAGCGGGATACAAAATTTGACGACAAATTACGCAAAGAGTGATCTTATTTACGAAAAATTGAACACAACGTTTTTTAAAGATCTTTTTCGGAAGAATATATTTCATCAAAAAATTATCTTTCTAAAGTTTCTCGTTCATCTCTGAGCAAAAGAATGTATTAAGATTTGTAAAAGTTCCAGATAGTCCACAAATTCCAAATATATTCCATCTTCCAAATTCCAAAACCTTGACCAGGTAGAGTATGTGGTGATAGTTTTGGGAGTACGTAGATCAATTCTCAGTAACTCTGGTTATGATTGTAGAAAAACGGTGCAGAATTTCACAAATTATACTACATGTGCAATTACGGAAATTTGCGTTCCAAATCCGATTATCATATTTTCTTTCTAAAAATGCGGTCATTCGGTTTCCAAAATACGATATTTGCAGTTATTCATATTTTTAGACATAGTTACAAAAATACATCACTTTTGTTTATATTAAGATATGTAGTACATTGCGGATGGTCTTTACAACGACTACTGAAGAACAATATAACATCTAAAACACTTTGGCAGAAATTCCATAATCGCCAGCGCATACAATGACAAGAAATTATTCTAAAATAATAATTTTAGACATTCTGTAAGTCTGTAACCCATTCCGTACTTTGCTCCTAAAAAATATTTTTAAGATGCCGTGCGCGAAACGCGGTATATCGAACTTGTTTTCCTCGGGGGAAACACATTGTTTTTTCAGAGTGTGCGAAAGGGCTGGAGGCGTCTGAAAACACAGCGAGTGGGAAACACTGGGGTGGGTCTGTTCTGATTCGCAATTGTTTTTGTCTTGTCGTCGCCTTTGTTTATTATTTACAAACAATAGAGATACGACACTGAGTGGAATCCATTTACTGTTGTACTAGTAAGGTACTTCTAGTTCTTGATACTTTATTTACATTGCTTTCCGTCGCGCATTACGTTCGCCCACGGCGTCTTGAAATGTATTGCGCCACACGCGGGCGGGTGCTTCCTGCTCTCGTCTCCTCCCTGTGCTCACCCGACTCGTGCGAGCATCACCTGCTTGGCGCCCGCGCTACGTAAACTACTCGTCCCAAGAGCTCGCGTGAAACGCGCGTGCGCTAACATTCGTTTGTTCGAATGCGCAGCGGCGGGCCTCTCCCCTGAAGGGGCTCCGGGGGGCGGGTTGGAACCCCGCTCTTCGAATGACCCCTGGGCTGATGCGGCCAACGGCAGCGCGCACGCTCCGGGAAGCAGCCATCGCCTCGCGCCCGAGCACGCCGAAGGGCGAGCGCCGCCAGCGCATTCTGGCGGACGAAAAAGGATCATGGGAGGCCACATCACATCCATTGCAAAATTCCCTTATATGGTAACTACCTCTCACAGCTCGGGCACACCGAAATGCTATTTCTGTTTCTCTCTTCAAAATCGGACTATGTCTAGCAACTGATGTAGTTGATATAAGTGTGCGTGTGTGTGAGGTGTAGGATAGGAAGGAATAGGAAGGAAAAATCGCGCGCGGTCTCTGGCCCATGTGTTAGGGAACTGTTCCGTTATTTTTAATGTGTTGATGGGAGAAACCATGGACAACTACCGATCAGATCACCAGGTCGATAGAATTCTCCTCCATACAGCGACTGATTTCGACTTAAGTACGTAGCCAGTGCCGAAAATCCTGTCCACGTCGGGCCTGGATTCCTAAGACCACCCAGTCATAGGCAGTGCAGTGACATTGGTTGCAGTGACCCTGAGCCACCTCTACCAGTTTGTTATTTCCCTTTCGGCCTACGTCTAATACAATGCAGCCCAGTCACACGCGATACCTGAACCTACCGTATAAACTACTTATCTAGACGTTTCAATGAAATGAGCAACCTCTAAACATTTTTTGAGCAACATTTAGAGTTCCGTGTTCGTTCTACCTCTTCAGTGTATCGCAGACTTTGTATAAACATAACAATCACTGTCTGGAGTAGAATTCGGGCGACTGGCTGCGCTGATCGGCAATTGCGTAAGAGGTTTGTCCCATTATTACTAGGCAAATGCCACACCATCTAACAATTGGAATACGGAACGCATGCGATCTTTGCGCTCTCATTCTTGTCCCACCTCTCCTCTTGCACAAACAATAACACTTCGGGATACCAGTTGAGAGCTTAGAGTTTGTCCCAGGTAGGGCGGTGTCCCACTCGGGGATATTTGAAAAAGGACGAAACATTTGCAATCGACGGATCCCACTTTCCAGCGAGGGAGGAAACCTGCCATCTCACCGAATATAACTCGTATTATTCTTACAATACTATTGATCATTGGAACAGACTCGCCTGCGAACATAAAATAACCATTCAATAGGGCTCTATCTCTTTCACTTGCAATTCGTATTATTGCTTTTAGGTTTCTGTGCGTGTAGGAGATGATGTAGCATTGCAAGTACACCAGTGCGGTGGCTCGATCATCAGTTCCCAGTGGGTCCTCACTGCAGCACATTGTCGCATGTGAGTATACGATTAGAAAAATGTCACTGCTATTGTTTGCCAAGAATAAGCCAAAATTATGGTTTCTTACAGAAACAACAACATTAACGCCTACACTGTGCGCGCAGGCGTCACAAACAGAAATTCCAAAGGCTGGGACTACCCTGTGTCCGAGTTCACCCCCCACAAGTGGTACAGAGGTGCGAATAATACTTACGACTACGACATCGCTGTCATCAGAGTAAGTATATACTGGTTGACGTCCACAAGAATTCATTTAATTTGAGAAGAGTTGAATACACGATTTACCAAAGTTAGCATTGCCAAGAAACGATGTTGCTCTTCCATTCAAAATAATTACTAGTATACAACATAATAACTAACAACGGCAGAGACGTTCTCGCTACGAGTTAATTTTTTTATATATTTAGTTTTTCGGTTGAGCCACACTCTCTGCCCCGCTGCCATCAAAATAAATTAACAGGATATCGCAGAGGGTTAAAACCACCGTAGGGCATGATTTATTAATGTTCAGATTGACGCTTAGAAAATTTAAATATATTTCACGACAGACGACCTTGAGCACCTGCAGCTAACAAAACAACATTTATCGAAACACATTAAATTTTAGAAAATTTAAAATATGTCCCAGGCTCTTCAAGGGAAATCTCCCTAGTAGAAAGACTATTTTTCAAAATCGTTCAGACTTAAGTCAACCAGACCGACAGAGAATTTCCATTTTAAAATATCCTGCAAGCGCTAGTGTTTTACACACATCACACTCACACACACACATACACACGAACAGAGAGACGGACAAACTTCAGCATTTACATTTAAAAAATTCAACAGTTTTTTCTTGTATACGTGCATACGAGGAGGAAATTTTAGAAAACTTTTAAGCGAGATTTGAGAAAATAATTGTTTCAAAATTGCCTATATTTCACATCGAATTACGTGAAAAACACTCATATTTCCCAAAATTTTTACAACAAGTTATCGAAAGGTCTCTTTTGAAAACACATGTTATATCCATGAAGAAATTTTCTATCTTCAATACTGTAGTTCTGAAAAATCGTTTAGAGAAATATATATTGCAATTTTTAAAAATATCAGGGAAAGAACGAAAATGAACCTCGCACGAATTTTAATCGTTCGGAAGTGTTTAATTAAAAAAATTTGGTGCCGGTTTTGAAATAGTTTTTAAAATGTGATAAGGTAACGTACTTCATGCAATGTAACCAAAAATAAAAATAAAAATATCAAATTCAAAATGAAAAGTCGTAGAGATCTTTTAAAACGTCCAGGAATATCAATTTTGGGGAAATTCGGCCAAATGTTCACATCAGTAGTATTGATCTAAGACAGCGGTTTTGCCGACAAGCGATTTTTCGTTATCAAAGACTCACGAAACATCCATTCCCAGTAAACAACGTATTAGAGGAAATAATGTACTATACACTCAAAAAGGATTTATCAATATTTTCGCTACCAGGAGCCCGCAGTAAGGGATTTTTCTCATGAAAGTAATTTGCCGATTTTAAACTATTTTATATTTTATAGCAAAACTTTTCTTTCTACCGCGTAAGGACTAAAAAGTAAACATATTGTATTGGAAATATATTTTGTTTTAAAAAATCTTAATATGCCTCACAAGTCACATGAGTATCTTTCCTTGATTATATTTTTTGTTGTTTTGTGTGTGTGTGTATGTGTGCGTATCATTCAAAATTAAATTCAAATGATGCCTGGCTGATTCAATAAGAAGATAATATTTACAAAACAAAACATCCGAAGAGAATAATTTAATTTACGTGTCTATAGCATATGGAAATTTAGTATTTACCTCATATAAAGTTACGCAAAGAATACTTTTGTACATTAGATGTGTTTTCAGATCAGAGGCAATTTCACTTTTAGCGCCTCTGTGCAGCCCATTCGCCTAGCCAACTGCATGCCCCCTCCTGGCACCGTCGCCCACGTCGCCGGCTGGGGCCTCTTCTCTGTAAGTGGGAGGCCTTTTCACCCTGGTGGCACCAACAGAATCATGGAGAGCAGCGCAGTAATGTGTGCATTGTTTACAGAATAGAACTCATCTTTCTATTCCCCTGCGCACGGTGTCTGTTCCCATCTTGTCTGAAGACACCTGCAAGTGGGCGTACAGTCACGCCACACCTCGCATGTTGTGCGCTGGCTACCCTGACGGGGGCAAGGATGCCTGTACTTTCGACTCGGGCGGCGCTTTGGTGGCTGGCGGCGAGCAGGTGGGCCTAGTGTCCGGGGCTGATGGCTGCGGCCGCCCTTGCAAGCCAGGTATCTACGCCAACGTGGTCTACCTCCGCTCCTGGATCACCTCTGTGACAGGCGTCTAAGTCAGTAATGTGGATTTGACTTCTCCGTTTTTGCAATACTTGCTTCACTTCACTTGATTCATTAATAATTGTTCTATGAAAACTAAAATTACTCTAAAATTGGTACATTAATGTTTCTCTTGTGCTATGTTTATCATAAGTCATCATGGAAAAAAATATTCCAAATTAAGTTATCTTTAAAAATCTCATAAATACATAATAATTTCATAATTAACTTAGTATGGTTTTCAATTCATACAGGGATCAATTGTAATACAGATCAGACGCAAATATTTGCTTAAACATAAATAACAGATGCTGCTTTGCTCAAATGGTTGTAATACCCAAATTCAAATATAGTAGAATCATTCTTCTGAGAACTACTCAACAAAGCTGCATTAAGTTCAAATTTGCTGTATTTGCCATCCTCGTAGAGCACCATTCCTGGCAGAGCAACACTGCCAAGTGCATTAACTTAGAATTACTATATTGGAGAAAATATTCATTGTTCTTGAAGGAAAAAAAAGACAACCACCACATCGTGAAGACATATCGATTAAAATTATGCAGGATATGTCTGCTACAAAACCAAGAAAAACCCGTATAATCACTAACAGTAGGTAAGAATAAAAGTCCAAAATTTCAATATTTTATAATTAAATCTGTCTCTATTGTATCCGCATTCTGAGAGTGTACTCGGCAAGTAGAATATTGTTTTTCATCAGTCCAATAGACTTTTATATTTATTCTCTTTTAATCCCTTTCGTGCTAAAGGCTCCTGAAAATAAACTATATCCTCAGTGTAATCCCCATGTGATCTATACTATTTAAGCCCCGATTGCAAATAGACTCTACGAATGTTAAAACAAGTCAGAATGCATTCAGATCATTCGGTTTTTGAAAGATAGTAAAAATATGAGCATGATATGAAGCACAGAAGAATACTATAATATGAGAATCATTTGCTATTATTATTATTATTATTATTATTATTATTATTATTATTATTATTATTATTATTTGTATAATTAATAATACTTGTGATGTTTATTATTATTGCTAATTTCTTGAAGTAATATTGTTATCAACATTAATTGACAAATGAAACAAATCAATTAAGAAACAAAATATCCATGTGTTTTTCATTTTCGACCTTCACTAGACACTCAATATCAAACATCTCGTCACATATTCCAATATTTGGTATTTTCACGTTGAAATGTAATGTTCCATTAAATTCTAGATCAGTAAATGATTTCCCTTCTTTTTCCAAAATAAGATAAGGATTAAGAATAGCTTCAGCATCATTAAATACTTTACCACTGGCTGGAAAAAGTAACCACTAGCTGGAGAAAGTTCAAGCACTTAATTTCCAAATTTATCAAATCACCCAATTCTCTTCAAACACCTAAATAAATTTATTAGGCCATCTCCCACCTCAACCTACAAACTACCCGTTCACTATCAAAATCATCAACCCACACGACGGACACTCAAGCTAGACTCCCTGATAACATCCTATATTCTATACAATTTAAACATAAAGAACAAAATATATTTTACAGACCTAAAACACCCAGATGACAGACGCACTATGGAACATTAAGATAGGTACTACATAACATACTCATAACTGAATAAAACGAATAATGGCCAAACATTATTCGATCAGCGATTTAACGATCAGCCCAGAAGAATTTGGACACTTATTAACGAAAACAAGCGCAATCACCCCACGCACCCAATCAGATGGAACATTAACTTACAACCCACAAACTCTGCCACAACGTTTGCCAGACGTATTCCAAAACTGATTTAAATTCTCACATACTACTCTTCTCTCCGTCAGCAATTCTTTACGTTCTTAAAACACCCCAACTTCCACCTCCACAACTCTGAACATTCACCGACGATGAAATAAAAGACGAACTTCATTCACTCGAAGAAAGTAAAGCGACAGGACCCAGCGCATTTGAGGTAGCAGAGTAAAAACGACTCATTAAAAACGCCACGACTTTCTTGACCAGATATCTCAACATTCGCATAACGCCAAACTACGTTTCTGACAATTGGAATCTAGCCAAAATCATTATTATACCTAAACTATACCAATCACTCAGAAATCACGACAAAAACCGACCAATTAGTATTTTACCAATTTTAAGAGCGGAATTTGAAAGAGTAATATTAAAGCAATTGAAATACCTTTGTACGCACGACTTCAACTGACACAATTAGTTTTCCGGGTAGACAGATCCACACGGTTACACATATTACGTATCTCATTAGACGTAGTTAGCGGACTCGAACAACGAAATAAAACACACACATCACCAGGACCATTTTTTCCAGACTTCCTTCACGCATTCTTATCTTTCATTTAGAATACGCTTATCTACAAAATCACCTCCCACTTTCTCAATTATCTTCTCACTCTTGTGAAAAATTACCTATCTAACAGATCATTTCATATAAGTAACCTCAACACCACCTCATGGCGTCCCCAAGACCCATCCCTCCTGGCGTCCCCAAGAACCGGCTTTCACCCCCCCCCCTCACATCTCTTTACAGTAATGACTTTCCAACAGCTCCAAACGTAAAGGAATACATCTACCCAGACGACATTTCTCTGACTTAAACTATAAAACACAATCCGCACCCTTCACAACACACTAGATCGCATTACTAACTGGATCCATTACAATGACCTAACCCCAAACCCACAAAAATGCCCTGCATTACTATTTCACGGAAACAAATCAAACCCCAACCCATCTCAACTTGCTTTTATCTATACCCCTATCAAATGGGTCGACGACGACATATTTTAGAATAACATTATTCCGAAAACTACTGTGGAACAAACATATAGACAAAACAAGACATATAGACACACAGACAACTGAGTGCTCTCTCACCTGTAATTACATACTTCCCAAAAAATACAAAGGCGAAACCTCGCGAGACTTCCATCAAACCAATTATCAAATACACCTGCGAGACTTGGGCCACTACCTGCTACAACAATTACGAACAACTCCTCAAACTTAAAAATAGAATCCTGAAGACTGCATTTAGACCCTCTCTCTTCAGTAACCTGAATAGACTAAGAGAGATATTAAAACTCACCCCCAATCGACAAGACATTTTTGACAGAGCCAGGCGATATATTAAAAAAGCACTTCAAAACTCTCTTTCTTGATAAACACACAGCACTAAATCTTGACTAATGCTTTTAAACAAAAAATACTACCTCAACCACTAGATATCCTTCAACTATAAGCACCGTTGCCACTGCATACCATCCGCTAGTACATTTATAAATCACTCTGCAAACCGAAATAACTTCACACCCAAACCTACTTTTCTTCCCTCTACTCTCGTCCCGCTCTTCCCCCTGCGAACGAGATCTTCTCTGAGGCAGCAACGGGCTCCTCCGCCACCCCTTCCCTTCCCTTCCCTTCCCGTTTGCTGCTCGCGCAAGCGCTGCTCGCTAACCCGGAGTGGGGTGAGCACTCTCGCAGCGCGACTACAGAAACACATCGAGAGCGTGTTGCGCCATGTTCAATTTATTTTCCAAATTTAGGTGTAGCTCATGACATCTTCGCCATAAGGCTTAATTTTTATTCAATTTTTGGACAAAGATCATAGCACAGTGAGGTGCTTCTTCATGTATTAGTAACATTTTTTTACTGAAATGTAGTTTTATGTTTATTTAATTCAAAGGTTCATTTGAGTTATTTCACTGTGGTGCGAGCCTTATGACATGAGAATGGTCTCCACGTCTGTACTGATTGCACCTTAACTGCGTTTTATTTGGTAAGTTATTTACTATGTAACTGAATTATACAATCTTCAACGAGCGTAAAATGATAGCTTACGACGCAAGGGACGTAAACGAGTGTAGAAATTTCTACGAGTGAATAATTGCCATTGTACGTGGGTAGAAAACAATAATTTTCTACGACTGTTAAATCAATATTTTAAAAATACTTAATGAATGCTTAAAGATATCTATTTATTTTTTAATTTGCGCTTTTTTTGGTGAGGGCTGTTTCTCAAATGGTGACTGAAGTCTTAAATTTTTGTACTTATTTAATTAATGTTTCCTTCCTTTTACATTAGTTAATTAAACTGGTAATGGTGGCTCAGGACATAACCTGATGTCCCTACAACGGCCCTCACCACCACGCGGTGCTAGGTTTGAGTCCCGACGGAACTAGAAGTTTCGAAACTAGATTAGTCGATTTGAGTCACCGTTTGGAGGAAAATCCTAGAGGCTGGCGCTCTGATCGGTAGTTTTCCGTTATTTCACCGACTGATTCCAGTCGTGTTCCGCAACTGTACCCTAACAAGTGGTCCACAGAATGCACGCGATCTTTCCTTCCTCTTCTTTCTCCTATACTCACATCTAACACACACTTACATTCACTACACTACTATGCTTATCGGCCCCCGGTCGGAAGCTTAGAGCAGCTCCTAACGGGTGCGGTGCCCCGCTGGTGGTAGATACGTGTTTGGGAAAAACACGCAAGTCGAAAAGACCTCTAGGTAAATCGCGAGGACTGATCTTGATTCGCCACGTCACAAAAGCCGACGAATAGAGGCAGCGGCGGGGCATGTGGGAGGGGGACACAATCAAACTACTGAAACGCGAGCAATATCAGTGAAATAAATCAAGCCTTAAACCAGAAAGAGATCGAAGCCGTAAAAGAAATGACTTTCTTTTGTCAATTCAAATCAACAACAGAACACAAACTGTATTCAAATGTTCGCATTATCCTCCTTGCCGTTTGCTTCAAATAGCCAGTGAAGGGCACTATACATGGTCATTGAATTATCTCTCGTGTGCAGGGACAAAGAAGATTTCGACATGCCCAGTCTCATCAGCTCCTTGTGGTTTTTGAGTGTCGCGTTGGGTGAGTAAATATAGCCTGCAACTCCTATGGCGCGAATCTACACGCGATTAGGTTGTCAACATGTTTCCAAGAGTCAAGAGGGAACAGGAAAACAACTAGTAGTGCACTTTCTTTCTCGCATTGATTCTAAATGTTGCGCAACATAATTCTACTACATAAACACCATAATAAAAATGTTTTCAGTCAGAAATAAGTGTGCAGCTTTGAGACTGGAACTCAAAACCTTTAAGATAACATGCCAAAACTCCTCCCACTATGCCAAAGAAGTGCCGCACCTCGCGCCGAGGCATAAAACGGAAAATGCCCGATACATGTAAGACGTGACGCTATGACTGCACATACGGTTTTTTTGAAACAGCAATGTAAAATTTAAATATTGAATTTTTTGCGCTACTAACACCTCAGCCCTTATTTCAAAACGTCTAATTGAACCAAAAACTGAACAATGCACTGTTGCCAGTGCAGCGTTATCTAAACAATGAGCATTTTCTAATCTAATGATATCAATATAGTAATTAGATTGAGTGAATTTGACATCAAAATAATTCAAACATTCTGTCTGCTCATTCGGGAGGTGTCTTTCGTCGTAAGTTAGCAGTACCAATAGAGTTTTATTTCATTATCGACTTCTAATATCCACACTTCAGATACGAAAAGCTTTATTTTTTTAAACATAGAACGTTCTTGGTTTCTCGGAAGAGAGAAGGTGATATAAACAAAACAAGTGCTAATTAAGTGCCTCTCAATCAATGCGCCATTGTTGTGAAATTACCATTAAACTTCGCGCATTGCTTAAAAATAAATACATCAATAAATTCAGAATACATATTGAGTAAAAAGCAAAAAGGTAAGAAAGATAAAAATAATTTATATTGGCATTTTTAATAGGAAACTAAAATTAAAATTAAATTACTTTTATATTCCTGCTGGTGGTGAAACCTGTATTTATTTCATTAATTTTTGGTGAAAATTACATAACAATCATACATATTTAAAAAAAATTGTACACGACTTTTTTAAAGAGCATATTTTTTACAAGAAACTTTGAGGTAAAAATTCAATACCTTCAATTTTGTAGTTTTGAAATGATTATGGCAAATTTCAAGAAAACAAACATTACACGAAAATGAGACTTGTGCCATATTTCTTATTGTTTCTTATCATATATGTGAAGAAAATAAAAAGAAAATAGTTGGAGTTATTTTGAGAATTTTTTTTAAACCTTCAAACAGAAAAAACGCAAAACTTCTTGTTTTCAAAAAATTGTACATTATTTTTTCTGAAGAAATATTATAACAGAGGTATTGAGACAAAAATCTCTTTTTTCAATTTTTAAATTTAATTTTTTTCCAATTGCGAAAAATTGAAAATGCCAAAGTAAAAATGACCTGCAGCAATCTTGTAAATGACCTTTGCACTTTTCAACATAAAATATTAATCAATAAATTCAAACAAAATATTTGGAAATGTCTCAGAAGTTTCATGAAATGTACCCGCAAAATAATATTTTGGTTTTTAATTGCTGAGTCCGTGACATCAGCAAGAACGATTGGGGAATATCAATTTTGAAGAACATCGGCTGACCGGTTTAACGTTGTGCACAAACGGACAGACAGACGTTTGTTCTTTAATCGTTTTGTTCGGTATCAAGGACCCACTAAACATGGTGTTGCACTATACCAAGTGCCAGGGTATTTTTTCTATATTTAGCATCTAAATTTATAACCTTTTTCTTTACCAGGGCACGGCAATAAGAGATTTTGTGTAGATAATTCGCTGTTTTCCGACACTCGATTTCAGTACTTTCTCTTCGTATGTTTGAAATTGCGGGATAGTAAAAAAAGCTTCAACAACCAATATATCCGTTAGAATCTAGTTCGTTCAGATCAATCAGGGAACATCAATTTTCAACAAAATCAGCTAAACTGTTAACGTGCTAGCGCTGACTAGAGACAGACACACTGAAAATTGGTTGTTGCCGATCAATTGATGTTTCGGTATCAAGAACCAACTAAGTATGAATTCTGGCTACACCACGATTTAGAGTATTTGTTTTTAAATCTAGCAGCAGGATTTTCCTTTATCTTAACCCCGCAATAACGTTTCGTCAGGCGAAATGTCTGCGTTTTCTCGCGCATAACTTTCTTTTTTTTTCATACATTTCTATTTACATAACTTTTTTTTCGACGAAGGGTTCGTAAGAAGAGAAAGTAATAATAATTGCGGAGCCATTAGCAATATCTAAGTTAGACGCACGGGTACTGGTTCTATTGGACTTTTATTGAACGTTGATATATTCATTATTTTCATTAAAGCGGTTTATACAGACGCACTGAAAGATGTGAAAAATTGTTTACTAGTCTAAAGTTCAAAAATAGCATGCAATTTCTTCCACTTCATTTCTTTGAACCAATTCTAATTGTGATTAGAATTGTTTCAAATGGTTTTACATAACTCTCTCAATTATTTTCTTTGGCAACTGACAATTGTAACTAATAATATTCCAAGCCCAAGGCTCGAACCACTAAAACTACCCTCCAAAGAGCTTTGTCAATACCCGACATTAACCATCTCCAAATGCACATGAAAATGCAACAACCATAATATTTTTTATTGTCTTCTATTACAAAACTGAAGGAAATTTTAACAAAAACTGTAGAGCCAATTTTGAGAAAAAATTTACGGTAATTTTAAGTGTAAATTTCAACAAAAACAACTTATATTCTACAATAAATTTACATGACCTCTTTTGAAAAGGTAATTTTTTAAGACATAGAGTACTTGAGGATAAAAATCTGTTTACAATTTTGTAATTATATATTTTAAATTTCCAAATATCAGAGATGTCAACGAAAATGAGATTTAAACCATTCTCTTATTCTCTTATATGTCGTTCGCACAATCAAAAACAAATTTTAATCAAACATATTGGGATTTTTTTGAGAAATTTTTCAAAATGTTTCTAAGGCCTTATGTGTATTACCCTCAAAAATCAAAATATCTGTTTGTAACTTCTAAAGCCAAGAGATCATTCAGATGGATTGAGAAATATCAATTTTGAAGAAAATCGGCTGAATGGTTTAGGCACTAGCGTTAACCAGAGACAGACTGACAGACGGGCACTTTGCAGTCAAACGATTTTTCGGTATCAAGAACTAACAAAGCATGTTTTTTGGATACACCACTAGTTAGAGGATAATTGTCGAAATTTAGCAAAAGGATTTGTCCACATTTTCCTTACCAGAACCAGGCAATACGGTTTCTTCTCTCGACATTTTACCGTTTTATGAAGCACGATTACATAACATACTCTTCTTACAAAGAAGTCTTAAGGCGAGAAAATAAAAATACGAAATTATCAAAATATCATCACAAATAAAGGAACTCCAGTTTTAATTAGTCGCATCCATTGGAATTCAAATAAAATTTCATACGAGTATGAGTTTCCGAACGGAATGCATCATTGAATAACATCATTCCAGAAATATTCTACAAACCTCATGTTATTATGCTGAGATTCTTTTCGTCAGTTTCAGAAACGCTTGCACTTAGAGGCGGATGTTTTGGGGCAGAGCCCGACACCAAATTCTCGCCCTCACAGGGCAGCCGCATTACTGACGGCAACATAACCACAATCGACAAGTTCCCTTACCAGGTAATCTCACAATACGAAATTATATATTATTAAAAATGAATGCCTCGACTACACGCAGAAATAATATTTTCATCTACTTCAATTTGTTAAAAGCAACAAACTAATATTCCATTATTAAGTTTTCCACAAAGAATTGAAATTAAATCCATTTCACTTCCATATCTCCGTACAGAACTACTTAATATTTACGTTCCAATAAATCTCGCATACTCTTTCTTGTTCAGAATGAAGTCATAAAACTTTCTTTGTTTGGGTTTCTTATCAAATCACTTATGTTTGGTTTTAAAAAAAAATTCTTCCAGATCTCCTTGCAGATTAGAGGATATCACGAGTGCGGTGGGTCCATCATAAGCTCTGAGTGGGTCCTGACTGCTGCCCACTGCATATACAGGTGAGTACTTAGTACGACTAAAACGACTACCTAGCGACGAAACATGCTAGGAATCATGTCAAAAACAAATACGAAGATCTTGTGTGCTCCGTTTAGCTCCTCTGACTTTATTACGGTGCGCGCCGGCACGACCACACGCGAAGACGGAGGCACAGTTCACGAGGTGGCGGAAATCGTTACCCACCCTAGCTTCAACTGGACCACAGCTGATTACGACATCGCGGTCATGAAAGTAAGTTTTCAGATTTTATACACCGAACTAGCGGAACCCCTCAGAAGTTGTTATCTATTCATCTTTCCTCTTCTCTCTCTCTCTCCTTTTCTATCCCTCTTTCCCAATCTCTCCCTCTCTCCGCCACTCTCTCCCACTCTCTCCCTCTCTCTCCCACTCTCATTCTCTCTCTCCCTCTCTCTTCCTCTTTCCCTCTCCTTTTCTCTTTCCCTCTCTCTCCGTCCTCTCTCTCACTCTCTCTGTGTGTCTTAATTTCTCTCTCCCTGTCCCTTCCTTTCTCTGTTTATCCGTTGTCTCTGTGTATCGTTCTACGCCATATGGTAACTCTCAGCAACAACGGAGCCCAGATGGAGCGCTGTTTCAATGGAAATTGAGGTAACATGCAGAACACTTTTGTCCTGCAGTGGCATCTAGTGGAATTAAAACAAAATAATAGCTCATAAACTTTCTGAGTAAAAACACACGTAGACGTAGATATTTAACACGAGACTATTAATGGAAATCACTCACACGGTTGTGTATATATGTTATTATCAAGTGCGCTCACTGCTTGCTGAACTCTCCCACCATGTTCCAGGAAGCATCGTCCGAGTGATGCAATTTGAGAGCTGCGTAGATTTATGAGATCTACAACACCTCGCCCTCCTTGCGATCTTGGAAGGGTAAAACGCTCAGTACTTGAATGGGGATGATGTTGTCGGCGTTGAGTCATAGAGGTTCGAATTGTCCTCTGGAGGTTGTCGAGGTCGGTGTTGCTCCATTTAAAAACGTCAATGGAGTACGTCAGCATTACAATAACAAATGAATTGATGGCCTGTCCAAGTTTCTAGCAGAGAGTTGAGTTTTTAAGAGTCCATGCAATCGTTTACACACTTCAGTTATCGGTATGTTTTTAGTAACAGTGAGTTTGATCCTGACTGACTGTTGGAAACCCAAGTATTTGTACGTTTCATGGGGTTCCATTAAGGTAATCTTTGTTTCTTCAGTTTCCGCATTTCTAACTTGGATATGACTTCGAATATATTCACTCTCTTGCACTTACCCAATCCGAATTTCATCTTGATGTCGTCTGTTAACTTCTCTGTCACGCTTATTAGTTGACGCGTATGACTCTCAGTGTCTGCATAGAGCTTCAGGTCATCCATGTAAAGAACATGCGAGACGCGAAGGCTTGAGTTCTATTTTTTAAAATCGATGCCATATTTAGATGAATTTAGTAGAGTAGTCAGGCGGTTCACGGCTAAGCAGAACAAAAAAAAAGAGCTTAAAGAGTCACCCTGAAAAATCTCTCGGCAAATGTATATAATATCTCTGTGGGCGGATTTTTTTCGATTAGAGATATACAGTTTTGTTTTTCATCAAGTCATCGCGGTTTTCAGGAAGTTTTGGATAACCTGGGGTCCTTGTATACATGCAAACATTGAGGGAGCCAATAATGAGGCAGGATGACGAATGCTTTAGCATAATCTATGTAGCGTGCGTACACGTTTCTTTGTTTTTCAATCACTTGACCCATATTTACAGTCTATAATTAGTTGCTCCTTACATCCCTGAAATTCAGGACCACATCGTTTCTGTTCATTCTCTAAGATGTTCTGTTCATCAATGTGTGTCATAATCATTTGTAACACACGATGTTAAGAGTTTGTAGAAAGTTTAAAGGCAGGTTATAAGCCTGTACTTCGAGAGGTCTTTAGTGTCACCCTCCTTTGGTAGAAAGAACGTTCTGCCTTTAGTGACGAAGTAAGATTGAATTATATTAGCTATATGATGGTGATTGCTCGTAAATGTTTTGAGCCAATAAATCTGCAGGTTATCACTGTCTGATGCCATCTAGTTATGTGAATTGTTTTAAGCTGCTTGGACAACTTCCACGGTAATGATTGGTTCATCTATTCAAGAGATATCGCGGTGTCTGTCATATTCCATTTCAATTCACGTCATGTCTGATTGTGGGACACAGCAAATGACCAGATAGGCTTCCAAAAGTCCTCTATATGTGCATTTGAAAGAAGCTTTGACTCTTTCATATCACTTACAAGCCATTTGCCCTTTGAAATATTCCTGTAGAATGCTTCTGATTTCTGTTAAAAAAGTATTCTGTTGCTTCCCCATAGTGCAATTACTGTAGCGTCAAAGGCGTTTTCTCAACGCCAAAGGCTTTTGTTGTAGGGTGTCAAGATGTTCTGTTATTGTTAAGTTCAAGGGCTCGTGCTTCGTATGTATACGTGCTTCGTATGTATTTTTGTATTAATAATGATGTTATTCACCTTTCTTCTGCGTTTTTGTGGTATTTCCTTAGGCATTTACTACTGGAAATTGTGTGTCTTCCAATATCTCTCCGCGCATGTGCGACCGCAAATTTATTGCTAATTTGCACGTCTTTACTACTCTCATCATCAATACTTTCTGACAGGCTTGTCGCATTGTCATCCTGAGTTTGCACAGCTGAAATCCCCACTTCCCTCAGATTGCTAGCTTCTGAGGAGTTACGCATTTTTCTTACTTCATTCTTCATTGCTCCCAAAACTTCCACCAGTTGGAGGATATTTTTCTGAACAATTGCTCGATGCTGATCAGCTATTGTTTGGTCACTAACTTCAGAGTCAGAGAAACAGTGAAAAAATTTTGATGTAACTTTTGTCGGTAGATGGTAGTGTCAATCTTCATTTTAGTAGTGGTGTAGTATTCACGCATGATGAAGGTATTTATTTCTGTAGTCCACTTCATCCTTGTGCAGTGCCTGCCTGCGATAGTGGTCTCTGGAAATTACTTGCTTCATTTTCATTATCTTTAAAATAAAATTTTCTAGTAAGTACTGAGATGATGTGGTCGTATGATTTACTGTATTCCACAATGCTTTAAATTTATTACTTGTGTTAAAATATACTGATTATTTTCTATTTTTTGTCTGAACTAATGGATTTGTTCCAGCCACCAATCCCGGACTGTTTTACGTCGTCACGTTCTGCGCATGCGCCAGCGCAAATTAGTCAGAAACGAGCCCCGGATTGGCAACTGCGGGAACTAGTAGGTTCAGGAATCAGTCTCTAGGTGCTGCTGACTTCGTTTCATCGGATTTGCCAGATGTCACAATTTTTGTATAGCGTGCAAAAATCAAAGCGACCTGGTCCTGGTTAGTTCCTGGTATTTACTTGCATCTTTCGTTCCTCCACATTTGTACGCTTATTATTTTTCTTTCTCTCGCTATTAATTATGGGTTTTGAACCTGGTCAACTGTGACTTGTGATATTGTTTTTTATTATTCTTTAGGAGTTCCGCTCATTGTATTATTTGCAACGAGTGATAATAGCAGTTGGACAGATTCTTCTCAATCTTCCATGTCTTTGGAAGAAGATTTAATTGTCATTTTGCGTAGGAAGAGGACAAAGATTAAAAACTCTGTGGAAATATCCACAAATTCTAATATCCACGAGAAAAATCCGAAAGACATCGAAGTCACCAAAAACAATCGCCAAAGAGTCAATATAATGTAAAACAAAGCTGGGTCAAAATATATAGAGCGGAACACAAAACAAATTTGCAGAAACCTGACGGAAACGTAAATGGCGCGTTGTCAAAGTTTGGCGCTGGCGAGAACTCGAGGTCCGAAGTACGCATGCGCGGATATCTAGTTTGAGGGAGAGTGCATGAACTGATTCGGACTGTTGGTGACTGGTTTCAAAATAAACAGCAACCCTTGTGGAACGCCTAAATCACAATCACAATCACAATCACTGAATGCTGCTGTGAATGCTAAACTGCGCATGCGCGGACTTGCTCGGAACTGTTCTGGACTGCTGCTAGGACAACCCTATTACTTTCCTTGAAATTCTTTTGTATTCTAGGAAATAGACACCGGGTGATACGTAATGATGTTTGAGAGGAAAGCATACGTTTCTGAAAGCTTTTGAACAGGAGCAGTAGTAACAGCTTGCTATGCAAAAAACTTTGTTTTGCATAGTACAGTAAGTACTAAAAAAGTAAGTTTCGCATAGTACAATTAAAGATAACGAGCCAGAAGGAATATAAACAAGTAAAAGCCAATTGTAAAACATTTAAAGTTGTTTGGTTGTGTAGCTTATTCCAAGGCAATGTAAAAGTGAATTAGATGCAAGGGAATGAAAATGTATATTACTCACATCAAACTAGAGCTTATATATATATATATATATATATATATATATATATTGTGGGATACTATCAAACAAGTCATAATACTTTCCAAGCATATTAGATTTGTTGAAACTATTAGTGGCTATAAATTAGTAACAAATAATAAATTAACGGATAGTAAATTATAATGTGGGATAGAATTTGAAAAAAATAACTAGAAACAAGTCTCAGTGAAAGTGTATTAGATGCCTGTGGCAATTCACAAGTTGACGAAACATCCTTGAAGAAATATCAGAAGGGTAGACCAAATAAAGTAGATAGAAAACCTTATGGAAGGTTGGGGAGCCAAGATTCACATTCAAATAAAGGTACGGAAATAATGTAATTCAAACATTATGATGATTCAGTAAAGTCTGATATTTAAGGTGATAAATCGGTAGAAGCCATTAATGAAAAATTTAAAAAATTAAAGTAGATATACATGGTATATTGTAAATAAACAAGAAAATATTAAGGGTACTGGGGGAATTGCGGTCTCTTAAGTAGAAAGCAGTCATGAGGGAAATGTAAATAGATTTAAATCAAGGCTTGTAGACAGGGGTATTCGCAAGAAAAGAAAAGAACATTGATTACTTTGAATCATATGCACTTGTTGCCAATATGTATGAATTATTGTATTGTTAACTTTAGGAGTGTATAACAAGTGGATTGTATTTATTTAGACATTTACTTTAATGATAATCTAGACAGCACGTTAATGGTAATCTAGTTAAAGAAATTTAAATAAAATTAATACCAGGTTATGATGTAAAAGAAGAAGTCGCAAATGTATTAAGACCTATATATGACTTAAAACTTGACTTAAACCTTGATCAACTCTTGCT